TCCATTTTCAAAGCAAGGAAAATAAAATCATCTTCGCATACACATGCACATAGTATTTTTCACTGTCATGCTGAACAGTGTACTTGTTCTTCCAATTTTCCAGTTGGCCCTGTGGCCACAAAAACGTAAGATCCTTCAATGGACAGGGCGCTGCTTTGGCGGTGTTACATTCTGAAAACACACCTGAAGCAACAGCCTGTGGCTCTTTCAGTTTCACTGGGGGACGTTCAGCTGTGTCTCAGGAGAACCAGCAGGTCAGATTAGATGCAGTCAGCGGAGCAGCTGCCCTCGTGGAGCGCGCGCTGTTTGGCCGGGTCCAGGTCCGCGTTACATGTCCGCTGGGGCTCTCAACGAGTCGCCCTGCCAACTGCAGTTTTTTTCCTTTCATTCTTTCCCTTGCTCCAGCGTCACCTCTGGAACTCAAATCAGCTATCAATATCTTGCTTAAGGCTTTTCTTTTTTTTTCTTTTTTCTTTTTCTTTTTTTCTTTTTTCTTTTTTTTTTTTTTTTTGACAGGCAGAGTGGACAGTGAGAGACAGAGAGAAAGGTCTTCCATTTCCGTTGGTTCACCCCACAATGGCCACTGCAGCTGGTGCACTGTGCTGATCCGAGGCCAGGAGCCAGGTGCTTCTCCTGGTCTCCCATGGGGTGCAGGGCCTAAGCACTTGGGCCATCCTCCACTGCACTCCCTGGCCACAGCAGAGAGCTGGCCTGGAAGAGGGGCAACTGGGCCAGAATCCGGCACCCTGACCGGGACTAGAACCTGGTGTGCCGGTGCCGCAGGCCGGGGATTAGCCTAGTGAGCCGCGGTGCCAGCCTCTTGCTCAAGACTTTTAACATCCCATAGTAATCTTGTACCTGCCACCCCTAACTCTATTTTCTACTCATATACAACTAGCATATCATGCCTGTGCCCTCACTTTCCAGATCACTTGCTTGTTCACACACCTATAAGGGAGAAATTGCTGCTCTGTCAACTATGAACAGCTGTTCCCCAACCTTCTTTTTCAGGCTAATTTTTCTCTCTTATTTACTTATTATTGTTTCTCCAATATGATAAATATAATGATGGAAAGAATCAACTTAATTCATATATGCTCTGTATTTGCAAAAAAAATTTTAAAAACTTCTATTATCTCATATGTAAAGCCAGTTTATTCAGCCAAAATTTTCACTAAATAATTTTTAAATCAACCATTTAATACAAGTGACATCACTAATAAAATGGAATAGTTTAAAAAGAAGATTCAGTACATAGACAATCTTGGTCAAGATCTGACACAACTTATGCAGACAAAGAATATAAAATACAATTTGAAAGATAAAAGAATGAAGCCCTAGAGCAATTACTTGGCACAACAATGCATTATAAAACAATACACTCTGTGGCACAGCTAAATTCCCAATTTGAGGAACGGGTGCCAAACTGGGAAAATAGAAGGTACTAACTACAAACAGCACCATTGTGAGTGCGAGGATGTTAGGGAGAGAAGAGCTCAAGGCAGATTAGCTTTGTCATGGGACTCAGAAGCACTTGTACAGGAATGAACTTGAACTCTGTAAGATGCAGACTGTGCTTTTCCCTTAATTACAGGTACCTTTCAAACAGGCGTTTAAGAAGTTCACTGAAAACATGGCCATCTCACAATCATCATGAGGCTTTTGGTCTTCTTCAAACAGCGAACTCCATGTTTCTTAGCATCCGCGAAATCGAGTTTGAAACGAGTTTAATTCCGAGCTAGCGAACACTGTTCTTAATCCTCCCATGAGCACTTGGGTGTTGGCGTGTGTATGTTTAAGTAGAAATTATGGTCTACTCCTTTCTCGTTAATTAACCAACCTTCTACTGTCTGAGAGCTTTGTCTCCAGCTAAGATGATACTGCTGAACAGAAAGCTCGCCTGGTCTGACTGTGATCCTATGGTGCCCAGCCTGGGCCAGCTCTGTCTAAAATAAATGGGCCATGTGGACCCAAAGCCTGCCCTCACTGCTCTGCCATTTTATTGCTGGCAAGAGGGAGAATTTCCATGGCCTGTCACTCTGGTTTTGGCTTGCCCCTGCAGCTATGAATGCAAGCTAAATAATCTCTGCCCACCTGGATGACCCACATGTGTATAAATCTCATAACCCAAATTCAAACGTTTTCAGTTTCCTCCAATGTGATTCTAGGGTCCTTTATGTGCAAAAACAGGCTGTGCTGCTTATAATTTGTGTGAATGGCATGAACTCTCCCCCCAAAAGTTTCCTTTTCACTTTCTGTGAAGTACTCTCCAACTCCTAAGAAAACGCTTCCTGCTGTTAACAAGACACGTGTTTTTCATTTGTTTCCTATATTTTTCTACTCTTGGTTTCGGGTGCATCAGTTTCCTGTCTAAAATAGTAGATGTCAACATTATGAAAGCCGATAGGTGAAATAAACACAACCAAATTAGCGGTCTACGATTAACATACAATTAGGGCCTTCATTTAATAGACTTGTGTGTGTCTTAGAGTAATTAAAACAAATAAGGGACTGGTGTTTGGCACATTGGTTAAAACTTCATTTGAACACCTGCATTCCACACCTGAGGGCCTGGTTTGAGTCCTGGTTCTTCCACTTCCAATCCAGACTGAAGCCAATATGCTCTGGGAGGCAGCAGGTAACGGGTCAGGTACTTGGATTCCTGCCATCCACATGAGAGGCTCGAATTTAGTTCCAACTCCAGCTGCTGCCTGGCCCAATCCTGGATGTTGCAGGCATTTGGAGGCTAAACTTATGCATGGAAGTTCTCCTGCCTCTCTGCTTTTAAAATACAAGTCAAAATATTTTTAAATGTTTCATTAAAAAGAATAGATTGTCCGTAACTATGACATTTGTCGTTCCCCCACGAAGAGGGGGAGCGACATAATGGTGCCATGATTCAGATAGGAAACCTAGGAGGGAAGAAGCGGGAAGAAGTGGGAAAATACCGGAGAGAGAGACTAGCAAAGAGCCTAGGGAAAAGCCGGATGGAAAAGGTGCCGGAAGAAGCTATCAAAAGCCTAGGCATAGACTCGGATACGGACTACGGGGGGAAGCTGGGAGAAATCTCTAAGGTTGAAAGCGAAAGTGAAACCTACAAGAAACTTAGACTCGGATACGGACTGTGGGGAGAAGCCAGGAGAAATGAGAGGGGAATATTGTTGGAAGAAAAGTTAGGAAACATACCGGGTAGAGAAAAAAAATGTTAGGGAGGATGAAGCCATGGGGGCAGGCCGAGGTGGAGACGTAAGCTATCTTGGGATTGTCAAGTCAGCCCGGGGAACAAAAGGCAAAAATCTGGAACCAGAGGCGGAGACGTGGGCCAGGTTGGAATCCATCAGATTAGCCCGGGGAGCAAAAGATGGGAAGCCAAACCGAAAGGTGCAGACGTGAGCTAGGTTGAATTCGCCAGGTTAGCCCGGGGAACTTAGACTGAATACCAGTGGCGGAAACGTGAGCTAGGCTGTGTGACTCGCGGAAGCCTCCGTGCGCAGAGAGAGCGCGCGGGGCACGAATGGGGAGAGCGCCCGAGGCGCAAGTAGTAGGAAACGCGGGGCTAGCGCGAAGGCCGTGGTACGGGCACAAAGGGCATGGAGACCGCGGAGTGCGCAGAGCCTGGAAGCCGCCGCGGGTGAGGCACCGAGAAGCAGCCTCGGGGCGGGTGCCGGGAAACCGCGGGGATAAGAGAAACAGAAGTTTAGAAGTAAAATGAGAGAAATAGGAATGCTGGCAGAAAGAAGTAAAATAGGAGAAATAGGAATGCCCGGAGATAGAGAAATAGAGAAAAATAAGGCCTCCCCACAACATGGCAATGAGAGGGCTTGGATTCGGTCTGCCTGATCAGTAAGACGATAAGCACCTGCAGGCGGCTTGCAGCTTATGCGCCGCAGGTCACCAAAGACAGGCACGTTATCAACACCAATAAGTCTTCCCACAAGACGGCAATGAGAGGGCTTGGATTCGGTTTGCCTGATTGATAGGGCTTGTAAGCACCTGCAGGCAGTTCTAGCAGAGCAGAGCATGCGCTGCAGGGCACCGAACACAGGCACGCATCAGCGCCTAAAAACCTCCTCACAACATGGCAAAGAGAGGACCCGGATTCGGTTTGCCTGACTGGTAGGGCTTGTAAGCACCTGTGGGCAACTCCAGCAAGCAGAGCAGAGTGTGTGCCGCGGGGCACTGAAGACAGGCGCATATCAACGCCAAAAAATAAGAAAGGGGGATCTGTGGGGAGCAACTGGGAGCAACTCGGACTAGACTGTTACTGGAATTAAGACTTATTCTATGCATCTGCTCTCCCACAATATGGCGCTGGGAGAGGAGGAAACAGCTTCTACACAGCTGCCTCCAGTTCAACCAATAAACAGCAGGAGCTGCTCCTGATTGGAGTAGAGCAGCATACTCGGCGTGTGGGTAGCAGAGTTGGGATTGGAGGAAGAGGACTATAAAGGAGGAGAGAGACAACATGCACCAGGAACATCTATCTGAAGGAACACCTGTGCAGCCCCCGAGAGAGCCAGCCGGTGGTGTGCCGCTCCCCCGCGGAAGTGGGGAAAGTGGCAGGGGGAACCGCCCTTCCACGGAGGTGGAAGGGACGGTAGCCAACCCGGGAAGAACCAGCAGCAAACCCGGGGAGGGCCGAGCAGACCAAAGAACAGCGCAGGGTCCTGTGTTGTTCCTCCACGAAGACGGGGAGCGACATAATGGTGCCGTGACTCAGATATGAAACCTAGGCAGGGTCCTGTGTCGTTCCTCCACGAAGACGGGGAGCGACATAATGGTGCCGTGACTCGGATATGAAGCCTAGGCAGGGTTTAGTGTCGTTCCTCCATGAAGAGGGGGAGCGACAGACATTCATAACTTAACTTATATAACTTAAATAAATTTTTAAAAAATTTTTAAAAAGAGTAGATTTTCACTGTTATTTATCTGGCAAAAAAAAATGTTGAAACCTTTCATTCAACTTATCACACTTGCTTTCTTATGGACTCTCCCACCAGGTGCAAGGGACCATCTTCCCAGCTCCTAACTTCAACCCCGTGATGGATGCCCAAATGCTGGGGGGTGCACTCCAGGGATTTGGTAAGTCTAACCATTTTACTAAAATGTTTTTTGGCTTCCCCTTGTTTTAAGACTCTCCTGTGTTTGTAAAATAGCAGATTTGTTGTAATGAGGCTAACAAGCAGAATGACAAGAAAAGTCACCAAAATGGACAACAGCAACGGACAGATGTGAGCTCAGCATGTTTGTCCAAAACCCTCCAGGGCCTCACTGCTAACTACTAAACCCCGCGGACTCGATGGAGCACCTTTCTTGGCCTCTGCCTTGGATTGCTGCCTGCCCTGTTTCATTTCTATTTCAGTCAAATCAGATGCCTTCCTATTTTGCCAAATGGCTCCGCTTGTTCGTATCTCTATTAGCCCAAATCATCCCCCTACCTGGAAGCCCATTTTCTCCTAGTTTTTATCCAAATTCCCTTCCTTCAACACTCTGTAAAAAATGAGCCTTCCTCTTCCAGACTTTCTCTCTGAGTCCTCCAAACTCAACCAGGTACGGCAGCCCCAGGCGCCCTGGCTTCCTCGATCTCATTTGCATGGTTATTGAGTTTTCTCTCCCGACTGCAACTTCCTAGACACTGGAGTTTGGCTACAGGTGTTTAATAAATGGATGCTCAATGAATGAGACTAATAGTTTATAAAAGGGACTTAGAGGGAAGAAAGGAGGGGCCGGCACTGTGACACAGAGGGCTAAGCTACTGCTTCTACAGGAGCCAAGTCAAGTCCCAGTTGCTGTGCTTCTGTGCCAGCTCCCTGTGAACACACCTGGGAGAGCAGAGGAAGATGGCTCAAGTGCTTAGGCCCCCGCCACCCACCTGGGAGACCCCAGTGGAGTCCCAGGCTCCTGCCTTCAGCCCAGCCCAGTCCTGGCTGTTGCGGCCATTTGGGGAGTGAATGAGCAAATGGAAGATCTCCTTCTCTGTCTCTCCCTCTCTCTGTTACTCTTTCAAATGAAGAAAAAGAAATATTTTAAAAATATGAAAAATTTGCAATTTTTTAAAGAAAAAGGAAGAAGAAAAAAGTTGAAATTCTTTTTTTAAAAGATTTCTTTTATTTTTTTTAATGAATTATTTTACTTATTTGAAAGAGTTACAGAGAGAGGTAGAGCCAGAGAGAGAGAGGTCTTCCATTCTGCTGGTTCTCTCTCCGAATGACCTCAGCAGCCAGAGCTGATCCAAAACCAGGAGCTTCTTCCTGGTCTCCCACGTGGGTGCAGGGGCCCAAGGACTTGGGCCATCTTCTACTGCTTTCCCAGGCCATAGCAGAGAGCTGGATCAGAAGTGGAGCAGCCGGGACTCAAACTGGCACCCATTTGGGATGCTGGCACTGCAGGCCGGGGCCTTAACCCACTGTGCCACAGCACCAGCCCCAAAAGATTTAATCTTTAAGAAATAATATGGAGGTATTAAACATACATGTATCATCCTTTAAAAAACGAAAAATATGTAAAGAAAAATTTTGGTGTGCCCAAAGATAGACATAGACAACATAAAAGAAATGTTTGTGGGGCCGGTACTGTGGTACACTAAGCTAATCCTCCACCTGCAGTGCCAGCATCCCATATGGGCGCCGGTTCTAGTCCCAGCTGCTCCTCTCCCAGTCCAGCTCTCTGCTGTGGCCCGGGAAGGCAGTGGAGGATGGCCCAGGTGCTTGGGCCCTGCACCCGCATGGGAGACCAGGAAGAAGCACCTGGCTCCTGGCTTAGGATTGGCGCAGCTCCATCTGTTGCGGCCATTTGGGGAGCTAATCAATGGAAGGAAGAGTTTTCTTTCTGTCTCTCTCTGTCTCTGTCTCTCTCACTGTCTATAATTCTACCTTTCAAATAAATAAATAAAAATGTTAAAAAAAAATGTTTGCACAAGACCTACAAAACCTTTCGTAAGAAAGCAAGCTCTTAACTGTAAAGACAAGGTTGCCTTACAAGACTTCCTTGAGTGTTTGCTTGTGTGTGTGTGCATCTGTAAATCCATGTGTTTTATTCACTAGCAACATCCCACAGGAAAACAATAGAGGACTTCAAATGTGCTCTCTAAAGCTGAGTTCGGTAATTTGCAGTGAACGCTTTCAAGCCTTTTAAAGTATCCATGATCACCAGAAAACACGGAGACAAGAGAAGGAAAAGTTCGAGACGAACTTCTTCAGGAGTGCAATTCGTGCACTCTACTACCCAAGCATTTTCTCTGCCCCCACTCTCCATGCCCCGTCTCATGGCAGCTTTAGGGGCAGAATGTGGATGCATTCCAACCATCCTAATTCTCTGCCTGTCCGTGTTTCAGCCTGGAGGATTTCAGCAGGCTTTGGTTTTTGATTGCACAGTGCCCCCTGCAGCATGGCAGAGCAGGATCATGGTGGAAATGCTTGAAAAGCCCATCCGTGCTGACGACCCTGGCCAAGCGCCACTGGAAAAGATAATACTATTCTCCCTGGCTTTTGGAGTTTATTTAGAGAAAGCTGAGGGGCAGCTGTTTGGCATTAAGAGTTAAGCCGCAGTTTATGGTGCCCACATCCCGCAGTGGAGTACCTGGTTCCAGTCCTGGTCTCCCCTCCCTGCTCATGCCCAACCTGGGAGACAGCAGGAGATGGTTCAGATACCTAAGTCTCTGGCACTTCCCGGCTCTGGGCTGGACCAGGCCTGGCTTTATGGGCATTTGAGGACTGAACCGGTGTGTGGAACATCTCCCCCCCTCCCTTTGCAAATAAGGTGAAAATAAAGAAGGAAAAATGTGTTTGAAACAAATCAAAATGAGCAGCTGTAACACAACTTGTCTCATATGACTCAATCTAAAAAGGGACACTCTTCTTCCTAAAAGCTCAGTCCGCTTCCCCCATCTCCTGGCTCAGGCCTGGCCCCGCTGCATCTGTTGCAGGCATTTAGGAAGGGAACTGGCAGATGAAAGAGCTCTCTGTCTGTCTTTCCCTCTCTTTGCCACTCTGCCTTTCAAATAAACAAACACTTTAAAAAAAAAAAAAGCTCATGAAATAAACGTGTAATTTGAAAAAACTGCATGGATTTTTTAATTTGACTACAAAATAATTAAAAATAATTAATTAATAATTAAAAAGGAGAGAACAATCCAACATAGGAAGTGGGACACACAGCAGACTCAGAATGGCAGATGTCCTTAACAGCACTCTGGCCTCCGAATCAGCCCTTAAGGCATTCAGATCTGGCTAAAAAGCCCATGAGAGTATTTCAGGCATGGAAAGCCAAGACAATGTGGCAAAAAAAGCGCTTATCTTTTTATCTTTTAATTTCACTTTCCACGAATTTTTTGAAGTCCCCTCATATGTTGCTAAATCTTAACAAAGGAGCCCATAAGTCAAAATTAAACTTTTTTGAAACAGTACTATTTTGAGTAGACATCTCCCTTTCCTAATCTTTCTCACCACTGTGATGCTAGCTGTAGGTTTTTTGAAGATATTCTTTATCAAGTTGAAGAAATTCCTTTCTGTTTGTAGTTTACTGAAAATTTTAAATCCTGACTAGGCATTACATTAGGTCAAATGTTTTTTCTGCACTTTAGGGAGTACTCATATGATGTTTCATCTTCAACCTATTTTTTTTTTAACATTTATTTTATTTATTTGAAAGACAAAGTTACATAGAGAGGTAGAGACAGAGAGAGAGAGAGAGGTCTTCCAACTGCTGGTTCACTCCCCAGATGGCCGCAATGGCCAGAGCTATGCTGATCCGAAGCCAGGAGCCAGGAACTTCTTCCAGGTCTCCCATGCGGGTGTAGGGGCCCAAGCACCTGGGCCATCTTCCACTGCTTTCCCAGGCCACAGCAGAGAGCTGGACTGGAAGAGGAGCAGCCGGGACACAAACCAGCGCCCATATGGGATGCCAGTGCTTCAGGCCAGGGCTTTAACTCACCACACCACGCTGCAGTGCCGGGCCCCATCTTCAACCTATTATAGTGATGGATTACATGAACTGATTTTCAAATATTGAACCATGTGGAATAAATCCCACTTGGTCAAGAAGCGTAGTTTTTCATACACGTTGTTATATTCAATTTACTAATATTTTTGAGAATTTTTACGTCATAAAAATTACACATAAGAGATACTATTAATAGTTTTCTTGTAATTGCTTTATCTGGTTCTGGTGTTAGAGTTTCAGTATTTGGTCTGAAGAATAAGATAGAAGTACTCTCCCTGCTTCAGTTTTCTGGAAAAGATTGTACAGAGTGATATTTCTTCCTTAGAAATTGGATAGGCCTGCACCGTGGCTCACTAGGCTAATCCTCCGCCTGCGGCGCTGGCACCTGGGGTTATAGTCCCGGTCAGGGTGCCGGATTCTGTCCCGGTTGCCCCTCTTCCAGGCCAGCTCTCTGCTGTGGCCTGGAAGTGTAGTGGAGGATGGCCCACGTCCTTGGGCCCTGCACCCGCATGGGAGACCAGGCTCCTGGCTCCTGGCTTCGGGTCAGTGTGGTGCGCCGGCCGAAGCGCGCCGGCCACAGCAGCCATTGGGGGTGGTGAACCAAAGGAAAAAGGAAGAACTTTCTCTCTCTCTCTCTCACTGTCCACTCTGCCTGTCAAAAAATAAAAAAAAAATAAATTTACATTTAAAATTAAGTGACCACGAACCACCCAGTGCTGTTTAAAAATATTGGAAATTTTATTCAAGATTAGTTTCTTCCCTGGTAGACAACTTTTAACTATCTTACCATACCGCCAATCCTCATTATTCATGGATTCTGTATTTACAAATATGTCTATTTGCTAAAATCGTTTATAGCCCCAAAATCAATACTTGTAGTGCTTTTATGGTGTTTTGCAGACATGTGCAGAAAGAAAAAAAATCAGAATCACTAGGATGTATAATCCTAATAGAGATCATAGAATTTCACAAAACGCCTTCTTCTTTTAGTACTCAAACATTAAATATATGTTCTTTTTGTTGTCTATTATAAGTGCCATTGTTTTTGCAATTTTGATGGTGTTTGTTGGGGATTTTACTATTTAAAATGCCCCCAAGCAAAAAAAAAGGGGGGCGGGGGAGAAAATGCTGTAGCCATTTGGAATGAACCAGCAAATGGAAGATTCTCTCTCTCTCTCTTTCTCTCTCTGTCTCTCCCTCTCCCCTGGCTCCATAACTCTGCCTTTCAAATAAATAAAGTGTTTTTCAAAACCAGAAGCCTCAGACTTCTAAAAAAGTAAAAATGGCCCCAAGAATAATGGTAAAATACTGATTGGTTTCCTATGCACACACACACAAAAAGTACACAAATGCAAAATGAAGTTTTTGGAGAAAATATGTGTGCTAGATAAGCACGGGCTGCAGTGTTGCTGGCCAGGAGATTTATGTTAATAAATTAATAATACAGCACATCAGAAAGAACAGAGCATCCATTGATGTGTGCAGGGGGCTGCCTGGAAAATGTTCAAGCCACATCCACTCTATGGGGTGAAGCGATGCCAAGGATGAAAACAGCAGCTGTGCGGTTCATCAGGTGATAGCTGATAACAACAGAAAGTTGAGAGAGCAGCAGAGTGGCCAGCTCTCTCCTGAGAGTAGTGCTGGCTGACAGAGGAGACAACTGCAGATCACGGGGAGCAGAGCAATGTTTAAAACCCTCCTCGGCGTTACAGGAAAAGAATATATAGAAGAATAGGTTTTCAATGCTGAAACCCTAACCCCAACCTAAATAGGTTTAGGGTTAGCGTTAGAGTTAGGGTTACTTCCCAAGGACATTGGCAAACAAATCTATAATACGAATTATACTCGGGTTTTTCTTAAATATTTATCAAACTGAAAGGCAGAATGACAGGGATGGGGAAGAGAGCACGAGAGTGAGAGAGAGAGAGAAAGAATGATTCCATCCACTGATTCACTTCTCAAGTGGACACAACAGTCAGGCCTGATGCAGACCAAAGCCAGGAGCCTGGAATCTATCTGGGTCACCAGGGTGGGAAGGAAGGGGCCCAGGGACTTGGGCCACCTTCTAGAGCTGCTTTCCCAGGTGCATTAGCAGGGAGCTGGACCTGAAGCAGAGCAGCCAGGACTGGAAGCAGCACTCAGGTAAGAGATGCGGGTGTCTGTCACAGGCAGTGGCTTAACCTGCTGCATCACAATGCCAATCCAGCACTTCAGTTTTGACCAAAAAAAAAAAAAAACAAAAAACAAAAAAACAAAACAAAAAAAAACCCAACCAGAGAACTGCAGCTTTCAGTAATTCAATATTCATGGCAACTTTGTAGAGAATAAATACCAGGAGTAACAAGAGTTGACTACACAACTTGAAAGCCTACCAAACTGCTATGATTCATTATGCCCCAAGTTTCCATTAAAACCAGAAAATAAGAATTATCTAGGTATCCCTGTCCTAATACAATGGGAAAAGAAAGAGGGAAATATACAAAAATTCTAAAGAAAAAATCAAAGCTGGTATTATTTGAAGAAAATATTCTGGAAGGATACTTCAAAAAGTTCATTAAAAATGAAATCAGATGTTTGCTTTTTTGCAAAAAATAATGAAATCCATGCAAAGTTTTTTCATAAGTCCCATTCTCCATGAACTTTTTAAAGAATGCTTATTTAACTAGAAATCCAAGGTAACCAAATAATTAGTTATTAAAAATTATAAAGAATTCAATAGTTGTTCTGGATATAAAGTGAATATAAATTCAATATCACTTCTTCAGTTAACCAATTATGTGTTGAGAAATAAAATAAAAATACTACAACTTCAAATACCTGCAGAAATATAAGCAAGAATAATTTTAGTCAAGTAATACTTATTGCCCTTTGTAAAATCTACAAATTTTTACTAAGTTTTTTAGAAAATAATTTCAATCAGTTGGCAAATATACCATTGATGACACAAAGACAACTCTCAAAATTGACTCTTAAAGTTTACAGTTACTTTAAATTTTAATAAAAGTTTAGATAAACATAAAATTATTCTGAGATGCTCTGGAAGGAAAAATGAAGAAGAATTGCTATGAAACCTTTCAAAAGTGAAAAATAACTCAGAGAGATAGTCTGTAGAGGATCTCAATAGGCAAAGAACAAAAAAAGAGAATTCTATAGTAATTGCATCACTGTGATGGTAGCAAAATCACAAGGCAATGGAAGTCATCGAAAAATATTCTAATGTGAGAAATACCTTCATTTTGGAGTTCCCCTCATGCTGATAAAAGACTCCTCCACAGCCACTTGTTTTCTTGTGAGTCCAGAGTCAAAACTGGGCTAGCCCCAAACCGCGTGGCTCGACGCCTCTTCTCTCAGAAGCCACTAATTTCAGTCTTTGGGGCTAATTCTAGATCTTCCTGCTTCCCTATTACAACTCTCAGATCATTTCTCCCGCCTGCATGAAACACCCAGCTCTGCCTCCTGCTTCTCCTTGGCACCTCCACGTGACGCCTTCCTACCTGACTTCTCCTTGGCACCCTGCACCTCTGTAAACCCGAGTCACCTGCCCTCATTCGTTCTATAGTCCAGTACCTGACCCATAGTCTTCCTAAGACCCTAACACCATCCAGGATGGCTTCAATTTTGAAATGATGGTTTGCTTCACATACAGCCTCATGGTTCATGGTTAACATCTCTTCTTGCAAACAGAAGGAGTTAAATAAGCATAAGAGATAGGAGGAGTTATATCCAACTGACAGGTTGGGGCTAAACCAACAAAGACAAGACAAAAAGAGGATTTGCCTGTATGTGGAAGATTAACCATCAGGCGACAGCACCACCTGCGTGCAGAACTGACCAAGCTGGAAGCAGCCAGCATTTTTCTTTATGCGTGCTCCTAGCTCAGGCCTCGGCCCACTGTGCATTGTCCCATCCCCTTGGCTCTAGCTACTGCTGGTTCCCAGCAAGTGTTTCATGTTTTCTCCTTCCAAAATTTGTTTTCTAAAATACCCTGACACTTTAGTCAGTGTACGTGGTAGCCACCATGCTGGTGGTGGCTTGGGTAGCTTTTCCCAAGACCAATCCTTTTATTTTGGATAGCATCTGTCATAGCTCAGACAAACCTTTTACATTTCAGGGATCTTTGGTCTCTACAGAATTTAATGCAAGGGTGATGGGTTCACACGACCCCTCAGAGACATACAGTTGCCTTGAAACGGAACAATCTCTTTCTCCACGACATCTGCCTCCTCTGGAGGTTCTGCACATGAGCAGAAAGCTTTGTCTTGATGCATGTCAGCTGCAAGTCGTGTCTCTATGCGCTGGCCACTGAAACCCGCATCAGCATGAGGGCTGGAGAGCCAGGTGGCAGAGGCATGAGAGGTGGTGGGAGAAAGCCAGTATTTCCTTTACTCCTAGTGTTTGTTGTGAGGTCTTTTTCAGGGGTGGGAGCTGCCGCTGTAGTAACAGCACTAAAATGAGAGCTAGGAAGAATCTGGGTTTCATGTGGGGTTGCTGTGCAATTTCTCGTCTGCGAGAAAATTCTTCTTGGCTTGAATGCGCCTTCAGGGCTAGTAATGCTGGCATATTGGTTTGGATCCTGAGATAATGGGTTCTTCCCAAACCTGACTAATCTGCAAATACTGTTCCTCCCCAGAGTGTGACAAAGACCTGCTGATTGACATCCTGACTCAGCGCTGCAATGCCCAGAGGCTGATGATTGCAGAGGCCTACCAGAGCATGTACGGCAGGGTGAGGCCTCTTCCTTGACCTTTGCTGGGGGCGGGCTCCTGAGATGTGGCCACGTCTGTCACGTCTGTCATTCTCACAGATCACAAAGATTTCAGACCTCACTGTGTGTCAGAAATAGTTTGTATTCCTAAGCTGTATCGTGAAATGTACACGGGCGCACTTGCAATACTGCATGGAAAAAAAAATGAGAAGCTAAGTTTGGGTTGGTATGGGAAATTTTGAAAGCCAGGCATTTTTTTTTTCATAATTCACATTTCCCATGACTTTCTGCAGTGCCCTCGTGTGTGTGTGTGTGTGTGTGTGTGTGCTCACACTCATGGTGATCACAGCTCTTTCCCAAAACTCACGCAAGCACACCCAGAGTGAGTTTTGGTGACCTTATGCTGCTGGTTTGTCCATTAAGGCTAAAAGTGTGCTGGGAATGCCCCGGTGTGGCACTTTCAGAAGGGACAAAAAGAACTAATGACCACCAGGTCAAAAAATAACAACTCGCCCTGTAATTCTCCTCAGGCCCCTGCCTCCCTCTCCACCAAAGCAAATTCTCCAAGGCTTTTCTTCTCCACAGCTTGGGGTTAGAGAGACCATTACAAAAGAATGGCAGTTTAAAAATAGTTTTAAGGCCAGGAAACCATCCGTGGTGTTTGTGAAGTAATCACATTCTAATTTCAAAGCAAGAGCCATTAAAGAGCCCTTGCTTTTGTTATGCATTTAAACCACAGATTGAGAACAAAAACTCTTCTGGCCCACAGGGCCTGGAATAGCAATTACTTTGTCAACTGAGCACTCTGGATGAAACACTATCATAAAACTTTCTCTTTAGAGCCAGTCCACGGAAACTCCATCTCCAACCCTCAGTCTTTGAACAACTATAACACGAGGATGTTCAAAAAAGTTCACAGAAATGCATGTTAGGAAACAACCATGCATGTATTTCAAAATCTTTTGCAGCAAAACCAGCTTATCTTTGAACTCCATTTTTCCATGAATTTTATTAAGTTCATGAAATAAAAGGTAGCCCTCCATTTTAGAATGAATAAATAATCCAAAAAGCCACTACGAACAGTGACATTAGTTGCATTTTTTCAAAGGAGAACAGGTACTTATTTTTTTTTTTTTAACATAAGACTCTTCCCTGACCTTCTGCTCCCATGACACCACAGCTAGATTTTTGGAAAGAGAATGTCAAAGTTGCATCATGGGCAATCTAAATCGGTTTCTATACAAAGTGCTATAAGGGTTGCCATTTTTCAGTAACTCCCTAAAGGTTTATATTCCTCTTTGCTTTTGATATAACAAGTTAATTTAGGCTAAAGCATTACTTTATCAAATGCTGCAAAACTGTAATGACACAAATTAAAATAATGAAGAAATGAGTTGCATTTAAAATGTTATGCTATAATTAAGCACTTTCCACTATGCATGCAAGGCTACTTCAAAATGTTTGTGGAAAATGGAATTGAAAGATGTCTAGGGGCAGGTATTTGCTGCAATGGTTATAATAGCTGTTGGGACACTGGCATCTCATATCATAGTACTGGATTCCAGTGTTGGCTCCACTTCTGACTTCTGGCAGCCAGTGATGGCTCAAGTAGTCAGGACCCTTGTCACCCACGTGGGAGGTGCTCCTCCCACATGACCCTCCCCCTTTCTGTTTCTGTCTCTCTGCCCTTCAGATGGATGGATGGACAGATGTTAGATAGGTAGAGATTTAAAAGACACTTTTTTTGGCACAAAAATGTTTTGAAACCCAAGCATGGCTTCTTTTCTTTAAAGATTTATTTATTTATTTAATTCAAAGTCAGAATTATGGTGAGGTTGGGGGGACTCTTCCATCCACTGGTTCACTCCCCAAATGGCCACAACAGCCAGGGCTGGGTCAGGCGGAAGCTAAGGAGTTCATCCAGATCTCCCAAGCAAGTGTAGAGGCCCAAGCACTTGGGGCCACCTTCTGCTGCCTTCCCAGGCAAACTAGCAGGGAGCCAGATCGGAAGTGGGGCAGCCAGGGCTGGAAACAGCGCCCATATGGGATGCCACAATCGCAGGCGGCATCTTACCCACTGTGCCCCAATGCTGGCCCCCAAGCATGGCGGTTTCCCAGGACTGTAGAGACTCCTTGTAGGAGGTCTCAGGGTGAAGACTTCACTTTGCTGAATAGCCCCACCCCTACTTCTGCACATCTTGGCTGACTGACTAAACTGCCCACACTGAAAGACACGGAACCACACTGCCCCTTTCCTCTGAAACACCAGTGTCACACAGCCAATCACCACGTCCTGCAAATTCTTTAGCACTTCGCATTTCTCTCTTCCTCACTTACACAGTCCTCAGTTGGACCTTTGTTCTGCGCCCCCACTAAGCCAAATTTCCCTGCTGCCCTCATGCCCTTCCCACTCATGTCCACCATCCAAAGAAGCCAGAATGACTCAAAGTCTAAACTTTTCACAGAACGCGTTGCCCACTTTAATCCCTGAGTGTTTATCCCAGTAATCCCCCCAGGTATACCCAGATGTTCATGGAATGAACCCAAATACCTTCCCAGGGCACACAGAACCTTGCTGGCTTTGTTTCTGGTCTCCATCTTTTTTTTATTAAAGATGATTTATTTATTTGAAAGGCAGAGTGACAGAGAGAAAGAGAGAGAGAGACAGCCAGAGAGATCTTCCATCCACTGGTTAACTCACCAAATGGTCCCAACAACCAAGGCTGGGCCAGGTCAGTGCCAGAACCCTGGAGCTCCATCTAGGTCTCCCACATGGGTGGCAGGGGCCCAGGCATTTGGACCATCTTCTGCTGATTTTCTAGGTGCATTAGCAGGGAGCAGAATCTGAAATAGGGCAGCCAGGACTCAAACAAGCATCCAATACTGGATGCTGGCAAAGCAACTGTGCCACAACACCAGCCCCTCTGGTCTCCATCTTAACGCTCCTCCCCTCCTCTCACACTCAGCTGTGGCCAAATGGAACTGCTTGTAGGTCTCCAGACCAACCTGCCTGCCCCTCACCTTTATTCAAGGCACTCCATCTGTCTGCGGTGGCCTCTCATTGCCACAAACTACCCACCTGTCTTCATCCTAAACGCCATGCCTCACACCCTCCCCGCAGAGTGGTGAGTCTTGAGCTGCTAAGGCGTCCTCTTCACCACTTCCTCACATCACATCTTCAGCGTGGTTAAGTCCGTTTCACTCTAGCAGGAAGCCTTGAAAGTTGAAATGGCTCCTGCTCATCCTAGAGTTCAGCACCAATGTCTAACATCAGATGGCTTAATGAACATTTGTTGAATGATGCTATGAAGGCACAGAGAGCTACAGTGCCTCCAATAAGAGGTAATTGGGCTCTGGAAGCTCGCAGAAACCTTCCCAGCCTGTTGCCCTCACCTTCTGCTCTGGGCTGGATGCCCTGTTGGTCTGTGTTACTTTACTTCCACACCTTGCTGCCCCCAGCCTCCTGGGACAGCAGGGATTGGATCATTTGCTGCTATCCCTCCAAGAGCTCAATGAAGGTCTGACATAGAAGAGGTGCTTCATTCATATAAAAAGGGATTCTAAGAAATTATATTCTGCCTTTTTATGTTTTTTATTTAAAAACCCAAAAAAAGGAAGGCCTCCTCTTGTACCCACTCTGCAGTTAAGGTAACTGCTCATGGGTGATCTGGATTTCTCTTCTCCTCATGCCTTTACGTAGCCACTACCGCTGAATCTGCCTGACCTTCCACTAGGCTTCCTTGTTCTCCCCCACTACTCACATGCACAATCACTGCTCCCATTTTCCATTTGCTGCTTTCCCCTTCCTGGGATGAGAGTGTACAGATTATCTTCCATGTTAATCATGGATATTTTTATTTCCTGTTAACATGGGTAGTCAAGAGTTGACAGAATGATGCTCTTGGCTGCTGAGTAAAGCACACAGGTGTGCTCCATAAATGCTTGTGACTTGATATTCCACAGGAGTGCAGAGCTGCCAAGTTGCACCAACAGCTCTGCCTCACCCACAGCAGAAATGAATCCCCAGACTCAGCTGCAAAGCCATTTGAAAGGCTGCTGATTGGCATATTTCGCAACACCATTAATATGGTTGCTATGGATCTTCCACACCATACAATGGCTGGTCCACTGACAGTGTAAGGAGACCAAGGGAACAAGAAAATACCTTTGAGACAGGGAGAAGGATGAGCCAAACTCAAGGTTTATAATCAGACAGTGATCCCCAAAGGAGTTCAAATGCAGCACTGAAGCAATTTATTTTCTCATTTTCATCTGGAATGGGGATGCATCGCGCTGATTTCTATCATTCATTTAACCCACGTTGTTGGTTAGGTAATTTACTGCAGAGGCTAATTTGCACAAAGGGAAAACTTGAGCCAAGGTTATCCGACTCTAAGTCATGTCTTCCATAGCTTCTCGGTCACGCCCATGGTTCTCAGTTGAATAAACAATAGACTTCATAGGGCAGACATCTGTGTTTCTAATTCTCTAATATCCTGCAAGGTCTTGTTTAAATGTCAACTACTCAAGAGGGCAAGATCTATCTAAAATTAGCACCCACTGCAAGGCCTGGGCTGGCCCCCACAGCCCCTTACCTGTTCTTATTTTTGTCCACAACGCTCATCACCTCCTAACCTATGTAGTATATTTACCTGTTTGAATTATTATTTGTCACTTCCTTCTAAAATACAAGCCCCGTGAAGGGTGTAGTCTGTTTTGTTCCCAAATGTGTCCCCAACAACAGTGGCAGCCACAGAGTTGGCTTTATGAACTGAACTGTGTTCCCCTAAAAGCCCATGTGTTGAAGCTGCAATCCCCAACATAACTGTATTTGGAGACAGGGACTTAAGGGAGTGATTAAGGTTAAGTGAGGTCACAGGGGTGGCTCCTAATCCAGTAGGGCTCTTATCCCTTAGAAGAAGAGACTGTAGGGCTGTGTAAACACAGGGAAAGGGCACCCAAGGACACAGAAGAGGTAGCCCCCTGCCACCTGCCAGCCAGGACAAAGCCCCCACCACCA